CACAGCTGCTGCTTCAGGAGCAAAATTCATGTTTAGTCCTGGTGGATTATAAACATGAATTCCTTTAGAGAAAGCTGGCATTCTGTTTCTATGGGGACACTCTGGAATTCAGGGTTTTTCATGGAAAAAAATGCTTCCTTGCTTATTGTCTGTCTTTTCTCAATAAATGACCACAAATCCCCTTCCCTGCTGCTGGCAGTGAGGCTGAGCCCTGAGCTCAGCCCAGGAGCATCCCTGGGGATCATGGTCCAGGAGATCCCTGTGCCAGGAGCATCCCTGGGGATCATGGTCCAGGAGATCCCTGTGCCAGGAGCATCCCTGGGATGATGGTCCAGGAGATCCCTGTGCCAGGAGCATCCCTGGGATGATGGTCCAGGAGATCCCTGTGCCAGGAGCATCCCTGGGATGATGGTGCAGGTGATCCCTGTGCCAGGAGCATCTTTGGAGGGACCTGTGGGAATCATTTGGTGTGGGGCTGCTGGGGAAGTTCCATTCCCAAGTTTGCAGGGCTGGAACTGAAAGGATGCAGCAGGAGCAAGTGAAGGAGGAAGGGCAGCATTCCTGAGGATAACACAACAATTCTGAGCTAGGAACTGGGAAATGTACAAAAATCAATTTATAATATCACAGCAAAAGGGAGATATTGTGAATACTTGTGAATGGAACAATCAGACACTGGGAAGGGGCACACACCTATCCTGTTTTTTCCCACTGCAAAGTGTGTATTTAAACAGATTATTTCTCAGCATCATGCAGAAAACACCTTCATCTGTGTGTGAGAGAGATAAATCATTTCAGAGCACATAAAGATTTGGATATAGAATCCCAAGGTTTTAAAATCAGTCCTGCTCTGCAGCTTTGAATGGCTGGTGGGATTGGAGGGATTTGCTCTAAGATCAGGGAGAGCTAAAGTCCTTAAAAATTCTTTTTGAACAGAATGTTAATTTTCTTTTTCCCTTATTGAAATAAGGTTTATGCTTAAAAGCAAATTCCACACTCTAGGTTTTTTTATTATTGAAAACTAGCAGTAATTTGCATAATTAAAGAACGGAGGAGCATATAGAAAAGCAATTCTTCTTTTGACACTTAGGGGTTTGCTGTTGTAGCATCCTATTTGCTTTTGGGGATTTTTATTACCACTACCACAGGATACTTCTGCAAGAATTCTTGAATATTATTCCTAGGCAGCCTCTTTAATTACATTTCATCTCATTAGGCACTGCTCTGTTGCAGGGGAGAGAGTGTTTGGCAATAAAGGCAGGAAACAAAGTGGACTCAGGTGGCTGCAGGATTATTAAACAGATTCAACATGTTGACAGTGCCAAATGGGGAACTGGAAACTCTTCCCTCTCTGGATTTCACAGCTCACACAGACAGACATTCTTGTCCAGGGCAATATCCCCTGAAATTCCTGTCTGGGGATAGATCCATCCCTTTCCCAATGCCTCTCACAGTCCTTTGACTTCACTGTCTCCATTTTCCAGGGAATATGATTACCTTCACCTTGTGCCTGGCACATTTGGGAATATTTTAGAAATCATGTGTTCAGGTGCTTCGCACAGTTTTAACTTCTATCCAGCGGGATGAAAAAGTTTAAGGAAAATAACTGAATAGGGAATGTTGTTCCAAACCCCACAAAAAAAGGTCTGTTGAGGAGCTCCATTATATATTAAACTGTTGTCTTGTCCTTTCAGATTCCCTTTTTTTTTCTTTATCCTAAGTAAAGTTGAGGTTGAGAAAATAATTTCTCCTCAAAGTGAGAAACCACAAGAGGTCAGCAAAGAACAGGGAAAAGCTCCCAGAGCTGAGCTGGCTCCTGCAAAAGGCCTGAAAAGAAGGAAATCATCCACATTGTTTGTGCCTATATATCCTTAGAAAATACAAACCCGTTAATTTAATCCATAATTTCAGTAAAATTCAGTATAACGTTTTTCACACAGCCCTTTATTCAAGTTTGAACTGGCACTGATGAGAATTATCCCTCTAATCAGAACATTTTATAATTGCAGGTGTAAAAGCAGGTACTGCTCTGCTCACCTCAGGATTGCTCAGCACAGCACTTCGGTGGCCTCAGGAGTGGAGTATCCCTGTCCTTGGACATGCTTTCTGCAAAAGGGGTTTTTAACCCTGTTCATATACAGCACAAATATTTGTTGCAGGCAAATCCTTTAAATAAACTTAATGTTAGTAATTAACAGGGTAAATATGAAACAATTTTTGGAGGAGGAAGAGAGGAAATGAGGGAAAAGTAAACTAAAGACATGAAAGAGTTGGTATTGAAGTCCCAGGTAGAGTTTTATCACCCGCCTCATTTACATCTTTATGAAACACCCCATTTGCCCCCATGCCTTTTTGCTAGCAATGGGAATGCTATGATTTTTTTCCCAGCTCTTTTTTCAGTTACTATTTTAGCCATTGAAAGAAAAATGCATTTTCATTTTGATATATTGTGGTTTTTACTAATTACATCCTAGTTCTTCACAGTGACACTGCCATCATGATAATGAATCTCAGAGTGCTGATAAACAGCTTTTTGGTTATTTATATCTCTTCAATGTTCCCCTTGCTGCAGAGAAGTGTTGCTGCAGTGTAAATTCACCAAGGAATGGCTGGTTCACCACGTGTGAACCTCTTGAATCCTTGATGGTGTCCCTGGTACTGGGCACCTCCCTGCTTCCAGCAAAACTTTGCTGATGAGTTACTAACTGGCCTTAGGTTAGGGCATGAAGATTAAACTCAGCCTGGTGAAGCATTAGGTCTTGATGGGGCTTAGAAATAGACTCTTCTCATTTCAAATTCTCAGCATCCTAGTAATTAAGTTGTGGAAAGTAGGAAATTGATAGTCTATCATAGCATCTGTAATTACGTGGAATTGGAAATGCAATAATGTAAGAAACAAGCTGCCACAATGACAGAGAACATTTCACTGAATGGGAGGGCTTTTCTTCCCGATTTTGACTTGAAATTTATTGGATTTATTTGCTTTATTAAAGGCTTGCTAATGGCTCAACACATTGATCAAAGTTCCCACTTCGTGTGTACATGACTGGAAACCTGAATGGGTTCTTCCTTGAAACTTGGATAAATCGTTATTATTTCAGTTTGGCCATCCTTAGTCTGAGCTTTGCTGGTTCTGTCAGTGACATCTTCTGAGGTTTGTCTGAGATCTGAGCTGCTCTGATGCTCCTTGTGCAGGGTCCAGGTAGTGACAGGCAGAACTGAGCATTCATTTCACACCCACGGCCCCCTGGGCTGGAATAGTGAAGCTGGAATTTTACTGTTCAGGCTCTTCCATCCTCACTTCTCACCATCCATTTTGCCATTTTTCTAAGTGATATGCGGAGTGTTACCTGCAATGGCTTTGGGTTAATTCAAGAATTAGGAGAAGAAACCTTGGCTCCCGGTGTGGCAGTGTGAGGTGGCCGATTCCGTCACACAGGGACATCTGAGGAGCACGTGGGCGCCTAGCAAAGAACCACTGAGGACTTCTTGCCACATAAGAAGCAGGGATTTTGTTAGAATTTTTAGAGGGATTAAATCGTGTCAAGGAGACATTCCTGCTCCACAGATCTCAATTCTTGGGGTGTCCAGAGGAGCTGTGGCTGCCCCTGGATCCCTGGAATACCCAAGGCCAGGTTGGACACTGGGGCTTGGAGCAGCCTGGGATGGTGGAAGGTGTCCCTGCCGTGGCAGGGGTGGGATGAGGTGATCTTTTAGGAGCATTCCAGCCCAGACTGTTCAGTGATTCTGTGACTCTGAGAATCACAGAATCTGTGATTCTGTGATCTGCTCTGGGCAGTCACTCCTTGGCCTGCTGGGCCTCGTGCAGTCGGAGCTGTGGGGTTTGGTTTCTTGTTCCATCATGCACTCGCTGTTCTCAGCATGGGCAGAGCAGGGGTGGTGGGTGGAACCTGGAAAGATGAGGAGGGAATGCTGGCATCCATGTGGAGCAGAGCTGGGAGAATCCGGAGCACTCAGCTGCTGGGAGCAGAGCTCTGGATTTACCTCCCAGGTCAATCATGTGCTGGTGGGGCCGATAAATAAAGGATGGATTGTGGCTTTCCACGCAGCACTCTGCTCATGTGGTGGGAATTCAGCATTGTTGGTAAATATTTTTTCATTTATCACTTTTTCCTCTCGAAGATGTGGTGCCAGGATGATCCTGCTGGCATCTGGGAACTCGCTGGGAGTGAGTTTCCCTGACAACCGAGGAGCACCTCCTCGAGCGAGCTGCACACCACGCTCTGTGTTTGCTCGGATGTCTGACCATGGCAGAGGGTGGGTTTCTCCCTCCTGAAGCTGTGCTTGGGGGGTGGGAGGGGATGGCTGCGAGTTTGGGTCCTGGTGTTTGTTTCCCATGTGGGTGCAAAGCCAGTCTCACCCAGCAGCAGAGGAGAAGCAGTGGAGGAGAGTGTTAAAGCACTGACATCTTGGAAGGAGACTCGTTACCCTAAAGAGATTAGGAATAAGAAAGGGAATCTTGTATTTTTTTATTTTTAATCCTCACAACTTTTATTTATTATTGGCTAATGTGGAAAATTACCAATTCAGTCTTTTAGCTCTGTAATTATAAGATTTTCTACTACAGATACACACAGAGGGCAGAAGAACCAATGTTCAGATTTATTACTTTGTCCTATTCAATTTTCTTCACAGCGGAAAATCAGAAAGTTTTGAAAAGAATCACCAAGAATTACTGCATTTGCCATAAAAAATGAAGAATTACTATTCCCTAAATCACTTCTGTTTCTTCTTTGCATCACACTTCTCATTATATTTTGGATAACTTTTTTCCTGTTTAATTAAAAGTGCAATTGTTACTCTTAGATTAAAAAGAAATCCAAAGCGTTTTTACTGCAAAACCTGAGATATCTTTTTCAAAAAGCACCTAAAGCAAATTCCCAGAGATTCTGCAGTGTAGCACACTGTAATTTCTTAGCACTCAATGGAGAAGTGAGTTTGGGCTGAATATATAAGATATGTCTCACCTGTGGTTTCAGGGTAAAAGAACTGGCCGAGATAAGGTGCGTCCAAAGCAGAGGAAGTAAGATGATGTGCATGTCTTGTTTTCTTTTTAGATTAACTTTCCTGCTCCCAGTGCAGACTAATTTATCTTTAACATTCTGTTTTCCTGGCTGGTTTGCTGCAAGCTGGCTTTGTTGTAACATTACTGTGTTTTTATCTGAGATAATAAGCCAAGGAGTTGGAATGTGGATTGGAAATTAATTCAGGGCCTGGAATACTGTCTTCAACTTCAGCAAGTTTTAATATCCATAAAAAATAAAGGAGGGTTCAAATAGGATTCTGCGATTTTCAATTTTTTTCATGGTAGGAAAGGCAAAATATCAGTCTTTTCCACTAAGCTTTTAGGAATAATTTGAGTTTATGTCCCTTCTGTAGCTGCAAAATTGGTTTTGCTCTGGCAGTCGGGAAGAGGATATTGGCTGCATGGCATTTTCTGTCTGCTACAGCCAAGGTGTTTCAGATATAAAACTCATGATAGAGCTCAGTGAAATGTCTTGAAATTCTCACTCTATTTCCACTAGGACCTTAAGCCAAAAGGCAGTAACAGGAATTCACATGCCAAATGTGAGAAAGAGGTTTTTGCATGCTTCTGAGAGGATGGTGGCTGGTCAAGGTGATGGGAAATAAGCACCTTTGATATGGTTATGATAATTTAATGAGTTCCTGCCACTTTGGGGCTATGTGCTTCCTTTGAATCAGTCTGGTTGTTCCCCAGCATTCCCTGGCTGCTCTGTCCCTGGTTTTTCCAGCTGGTTTACAGCAGGGTTCTGTCTTCACCACTCCCATGGCAGCTCAGCCAGGAGATACCCAGGATTGTCACCATCCCAGGTCACTCACAGCTCAGCACATCCATAAACTCCTGCCAGGTTCACTCCTGCCTGGGTCAGACAGCTCAGAGCCCACCTGAGCACACAGGAGAAGCCCCGTGTTCTCCTCCAAAATCTGCCGTCTGCAAAAAGAGATTCTCAAACTCAGAGTGATGTCTAACTTAAAAAAAGCTGAAAAATGGCACTGAGAGGAGCATGTCTGTTGCTCATTGAATGTAAGTGCTCAGAGGATGCAGGGAGGCCTTGGCTGGATTCTCAAATATTATTTTAAGATCCTGCCTTCAGATCCTGACAATTCCAGCCCATGTTGACTCCGAGTGAGTGCAGTGCCTCCAGCTCTGGAGCCAGCAGCAGGCACAGGAGCCTGCTGGTGAACCTGCCATGCTTTTTATGGAAAAAGTGCTGGAAACCCCAGAGCCTGGGATTGCAGTGCTGCAAAGAGCACTCCCTGCCTGCTTGGTAGGTCTGTACTCGAAAAAAAAAAGGCCTTGGAACAATTTTTTTTTTTTTTTGAATTGTGCATTTTTCAAACAAACTGCCAACACCCTGCCCAGTGGGTTTAAAGGTGTAAGAAATGAAGTTGGTACTGCCCATCCAGGGCCTGATTTGGATCTCCATTACTCAGTGAAAAGGAGGATATTGAAATTGCTTTGTGCATGAGAAAAGCAAGATCTTCATCTGAAATCCCATTTGTGGAACATCACAAAGGCATGGCCAGCAAAGCTGCTCCCTTGAGCCACATCTTTATCTTGTACAAATAACGGATATTGGGATTTGGGTTTTTTTTTTTCCCTTGTTTTGCTCGTGGCTCAATCTTGTGTGGCCTCAAGAGGAGCTTTGTGCTGCCAAAGAGCTCCAGCACAGATTTGTCCCAGCAGCCAGCCCTGCCCTGGGAACATCCCTTGCAGACCCAGGGATTTAAGCTGACATCCAGGACTGGCACTCCCTAAATATTTGCACAGCACCTGATCCTGTTCAGCATCTCCAAGTGCTGCTTTCATGCAAACAAATAATAGCATTGCTGTGGAGGAAATTCCCCATTCTCAGCTGTATTGCAAGTTTTTTAATAAAGAGATCTAAACTTGCAAAATTCATATCCCTGTGGCAGGGCATAAGATTTTCTGCGCTTAGAAAGTTGCAGGAAGAGTCATCCAAGCTGGATATGGTTTTCAGGTGGCAGGAGGTTATTTTGTCAGATGATTATCTGACATTACTGCAAGAGTAGATGAAGTCTGTGAATCAAGTGCCTCTCAATTTTATGGTTTTGAACTGCTCTGGGGAGGGAAAAATTTGTAACTCTCAGTTTCCAGTGCCAAAGGTGTAAGCCAGGCATGGCTTTTAAAGGGAGGTATTGTGTGACTTTGAATAAACCTCCATTTTGTCATTTTCTTTATCTGTGAAAGAGGGATAATATATAAATATTGTCCTTTTGTGAAGCAGAGAGAAGAGTAGTTATCCTGAATTGTCAAACATACATCACTAGCAAAAATAAATTGACCATATTAGAGGTTATTAACCAGACCAACACACCAGACAGATGGGGAAAGCACTTATATCCCAAAGAATTACTAAACCTTGTTGGCTTTGCTTCTGCTGGTATAGGGGATTATTTTGAGGGGAAAAAAATAAAAAAGGATATTATCTTGTAGCCTGCATTATCTTTTGGTGAGTCTCACTTTTTTTCTCTTCTATTAACTCTGAGATTTGAAATGCAGCTTACTTGAGCCATGCCATGGAGTCTCATGTGAAATACTGAGACTTGCAGCCTCCTGTAAACCAGAGTGTCTGGTAGAGCCCTTGTTGGTAATATTCCCCTTTTCCAGATCAACCCTTGATTGAAAATCAAAGTTGATTTTACTGCTGGTTTCAAAGTGGCCATGTTCATCTGCATTAATTCTCATATGTTGTGGGATTTTTAATGCAGGTTCTTTTTCTTAGTGCATGTCAAAATTCTCTTAACTCTTGCTATGCAGTGACTTGAAGAATTCCATTTTAAAAGGGAATGTTTTGAGGAGGTTGTTTATATCCTAAAATACCCAATGCACATTACAGCATGGTATTTTTGGATAGCCTCTTTTTTTTTTTTTTTTTTTTTTTTCCTTTTTTTTTTTTTTTTTTTTTGTGTTTCAGAACAAAAGCACCATTTAAGCTGCTTTTGGCCTGAACGTAAATGATGATTTTTTATTTTGTTTCTGGGCTTTGCTTTGGTTTTGCTCGTTTAACCAGATAAGTGTATCTTCTTTATCTGGTATACATGAACACAGTTTTCCACTTTAATTCCTTCAATAATGTCAAAGGTATTGCTGGAATGAGTCTTTGAAGGTGTGTCTGTGCATATTTTGTTATGCAGCCTTTCACCTGGGAATGCCACCTCAGACCTGGCCATTTCCAGCTCTAACTTCCACCCAGAGATCCCTTCTGCCAGGAAAACAGGCAGTTCTTCTCACTTTGCTGTTTTTGTGTGTGTACGTGTGTGTATGTTCTTCAGAAAGCCAAACTTGGGCCAGCTGGTAACAAAGTCATTACTTCAACAGAAGACAAGAACTCAAGTGTGCCATCCAACAATCTGGACAGGGTGAAGCTGACAGATTTCAACTTCCTCATGGTTCTTGGAAAGGGGAGCTTTGGGAAGGTAGGAGTTCTTCAGAATTAATCCACTCACATTCCTTTTCTTTTTTTTCTTTTTTCTTTTTTTTTTATTTTCCTTGAGGAAGAATGAATAAACAGCTCTCTAAGAAGCAAAATCCAGAGTCAAAAGGATGTGCATTTTTGAGGAAGGCTTTCTTAACAGGAGTAGGGTCATTCCCCCTAAGGCTTAGGAGAAGCCTAAGCTTAGTTCTGATTGGCATATTGAAAAAATAAAAATAAGTTCAAAAATTCAGACTGTTGGGCAAGATGGAAACTCGTTGCTGACTTTCAGATCCTCACTTCTTTCCAGTTTCAAGGAAATTAAGTCTACTTTTCTGCCCTTAATACCTAGGTCACTCTGCCAGTCCTGGAAGTCACCAACATTGGTAAGGGTGAATATTGAAAAAAACCAGGGATAGTGTGTATATATATCAGAAATCCAATAGTTGAGAGAACAGACTGCTATTTTCCTGCCTGTTTGAACAAAACTCAGGTGATAAAGTGCCCTTTACTGAAGAAGTCTCCTGAGACTTAACATTTTATCAGCCCTTCAGCAACGAGCCCGCAGTCAACCAGCAGGTTTGGGCACAGGCTGTCTGAACTGTACAAGGATCATGACTTTGGAGTTTTGATCAAATTTGACTGTACAAATTAAATGAAAAGCTGGCTTGCCATCTCTCTAAATCTTCAGGCATCCGAGTGACCTTCCCTCCCTGGCCTGGGGTATTGGTTTCTGTGGGTCTGGATTGAAGGCACTTGAGTCAGCAGTTCATGTTCAGACTCAGGTGTTTATTATTTCTTATCAGCAAAACAGTCTCACAACCAAGAGTTCTGCTGCCTTTCATTAGAAGGCACAAAATGGCCAACAATGTCTTGTTATAAGGTCTTGCAAGACTAAACTATCCAATTAAGAAAGGACACCTAGATTATATTCCCTTTTAACCCAATAACTGGTCCCTGGAAGCCCACAATGTGGACTTTGATGTCCAGTTACAAAACTTCACCCAGATCGATGAAGAAGAAGAAGGTAAAGAAGAGCAACCTGCCTCCACTCTAAAACCTCCATCTTGCTTCATATTTGTTTCTATATTCTAAAATCCCAAACTCTTAAGTTTTCCACCCTGTGATATTACACACCCATAATGCCAGTGCTGTCAATCAATTTTGGAAGCCTTCTCCACGGCCTCAGGTCAAATGCAGTGTTCTCTTGTGGGTCTGTGCCTTTAAGCACAGAAAGTTTAAAATTCTAGAATTTTAGGATTCCAACACTGGGGGATTTTCACTCTACTATTTCTCTGCCCTGCAGGTGATGCTGGCAGACAGGAAGGGCACAGAGGAGCTGTATGCAATCAAAATCCTGAAAAAAGACGTGGTGATCCAGGATGATGATGTGGAGTGCACCATGGTTGAGAAACGAGTCCTGGCGCTGCAAGATAAGCCCCCGTTCCTGACACAGCTCCACTCTTGTTTCCAGACAGTTGTACGTGAGCTCTGTCTTTCTTGCCACCCCGATGTTTCCCAGGCTGCGTGGTCATGGATTTTATCACTCCAGTAACATTTATTCTCATCCAACCCATGTATGGTAGCCTCTCCACATAGGAAATGGTGAAGAAATCCCACATGTAATTACTCCTTGTATCTTAAATATAAAAAAGTAGTTTTAAAGATTTTCCTTCTTGCAGTCATTCGAGCAGGCCAGCATGGTGATACCTAAATGTAATTATGTGTGCTTTGCTAAGTCACAGACTCAAACCCAGATTCTCAAAGGTTTCCAAATACTTTTAAAGCTGTGAGGATAGTACTTGAAAAGTCTTAATGGCTGTTATTATATCGTGGGGTTATTAGTCATGAATCAGTGTTGGTGGATTTAATTTTGTTTTCTGTCACTTCTTGGTGACACTGAGGGGCTTTTTTTTTTCTCCTTTCCTTTTAAATATGTGAAATGGATATTTGCCCATCATATTGCAAAACATCTCCCAGTGACACTTTTGAGGTTGGATCTGATGGCCCAGTGTCACTGTGCCAGCCTCTTGGATGACATGGAATTATGGAGTTACTGAGGCTGAGAGAGTCCTCTAAGATCACCAAGTCCAACCATCAGCCCACATTCCCTGTGAAACCATGTCCTCAAGTGCCTCATCCACACCAGCTTCCAAAGGAAGACTTCCTAGCAGCAATTAAAAATGGCCTCAAAGTAATTTGGAATTTTTGACCATCTTTGATTTTTTTTTTTCCATTTATTTTTAGAGACAGATTTTTCAGACTGGGCTATATTTGTATAATACTTGAAACTGTTGGAGACAAATAATCTGTAAAAGCATGGCACTAAAATTGGCAAAACTAGACAGATCTCATCAATCATTTACTCTTGAAGGTTGTACAAAACATTCCACTTCCATTTCCTGATCTATAATTTTTTCCCTAATTATCCTAAAAGCTTTTTAATAACATGCTAGTGACTTTTTTTTTTCTTTTTGGCTGATCAATGAATATCTAATACTGTCTCTAATGTATTTATGTGCCTCTTTAATACTTTGTCCTAGGACCGGCTGTATTTTGTGATGGAGTATGTCAATGGTGGGGATCTCATGTATCACATCCAGCAAGTAGGAAAATTTAAGGAGCCACAAGCAGTGTGAGTGTTCATGTATTTAAATCATGCCATCATCTTGATGTTACACTCTAGGAGGATTTGGTTTCTTCTTCTTCTCAGGCTCAGGATGAAGTTCAGGCTGGCCTTTGTTTGTTTTTAAGGTCCAAAATCTGAACTTTGTGTTAAAAATGTTGTTTGAACACACAGACCAAAGGTAGCTGTGCATTTATTCAAAAATACAGCACAAACAAAGGCAAGAGAGCTTATTGAAAAGTGACAAGAATTTAAGCAGGGCAGCAGGAAATTAAAGATGTTACTTCATATTCTGATGTTTTTTTTGAAAGCATATAAAAAAAAAAGTGAGTAGAACACTTCAGTCTGAATTAGTGCTATAGAGAAAGACAGCACAAATAGATTCAGCACTGTAATATAAATAACAGTTTATACAAGATAAATTCAATGTATAGCTTATAAGAGTTTCTGTGGTATATTTGTGAGGAATTAATAAGGAATTAGGAGTTGCTAATCTACATGATTCTTTTCAGGTAATTGTACATCTGGCATATCAGTGAGCAACTGAAAATGATCTGTAGCATATTTAAGAGTGAATAGATCCATCAGTACCATTTTAGCCATCCTTATAATACCTCATCACCACTTGTTAGTGTTTCATAAGTCATTTACTAATGAAACTTCAAAATCAAGGGTGACCAACTGCTTTAAGCATTCAGTTAAAATAATTTCTCATTTTGATTTAAGCAATTAGGGCTTGTTTAAACAGGGGGGCCTTCTGAATAGAAGTGTTTCAGATGCAGACAAACATTTTAACAACTCGCTGAATCAAACCGAGATGGTGTCAGATCATCCCTGACTCCAGCTAATGCAACTTGCCAACACTTGGCAAAATCTCTGGTGCTTCATGACAGCTTTTGCCTGTGCTGCATCTTCACAAGTGTTCACAAACACCTCTGATGGAGTGTTGCAGAGCTCAGTTGCTTCCTCTCCCTTGTGCTGAGCCTAAAAATTAATCTCATCTTTAAATAATCCTCTCACTCGTAATTTGCACAGTTCCACGGCAACCGGCTTCGAACAGCCACCAGTATTCCATACCTCTTAACTGCATTCAGCAATTATATTTTATATGGTAATCATTTTAATTAGCTTCATGTAATTAATCCATTAACAGGCTGTATAAAGGAACACTATTTCTGCAAATTGTTTCATGCCATGTGAATTGCAATGTACATTGAGCTGCATCCTGAATTCTTCAATCTGTGATGAGAGATAAGGACCTTTGCAGCAGAGTTAGTGCCAAAAAAGCTGTACTCCAGCTGCACCATTTTTTGTGGTCCAGGGAGCCAGTTTCTTTTTTTTTTTTTTTTTTTTTAGATTCTGCATTATTTTATCATCAAATACTCAAAATGTATCTGTTAAGGTCCAGCTGAAGTGATATGTCTTTTATGTCACCTGTATATTTACACTATAAATCACATAGTTCATATGCTACTATATCATCATCCTTTACCATGATTCATTCCAATTTATTTTGCCAGAAGAAAATCATGAGACAGTAAGAAATCTGTTGATTTTTTCCCCCCCACACAGGTTCTATGCAGCTGAGATTTCAATTGGGTTATTCTTTCTCCATAACAGAGGGATTATTTATAGGTGAGTATGATCTGACATAAGTAATTTCTGAACTATTTTTAAAACCCCCAAATTATCAGTTTCTTTAACAGTTCAGTGTATTTTTAAAACAGAAAGCCATCAGTGTAGAGCTCTTTTTGTTGTGTTGCTGCTGGTGAGGTGGAAACCCAAGCCCTGTTGAACCTGAGCTTTCTGACACCTGTGCTCTGCCCTGCTCAAATAAAACCTCTTGAAAATGGAAAACTCTATGTTTTGTATTTCTGTGTGATGTTTCGTAATATTACATGTCCCAAAGTCTCAGGTGAGGGGTCAGACAGAGCCACCTCTTTGTTCATTGTCCAGCCCACAGCAGCTGTGGCTGCCCCTGGATCCCTGGAATGTCCAAGGCCGGGCTGGACAGGGCTGGGAGCAGCCTGGGACAGTGGAAGGTGTCCCTGCCACGGCAGGGGTGGCACTGGATGGGCTTTAAGGTCACTTCCAACCCATTCCAAGATTTTAAGGTTATTCTTAGATGTCTGCCCAGCTCCCTCCAGGCTGAGCCAGCCCCATGTGTGCACCCTGAACCTCCACCCCCCAAAGAGCTGCAAATATTCCTTACCCAGAATAAGCTCACCCCAGTTGAGTCCAAACATTAACCTTAAATTACTGTGGTTCTTCTCAGAGATCTGAAATTAGATAATGTGATGTTGGATTCAGAAGGACACATTAAAATTGCTGATTTTGGAATGTGCAAGGAGCACATGTTAGATGGAGTAACAACCAGGACCTTCTGTGGCACTCCAGACTACATTGCACCAGAGGTAAACACTGACCCTTTCAAGAACCTTTTAGTCTCTTAAAGGAAATTGTCCCTCCACATTTTATACCACTGGGTTTGGATGGCTCTAACTCCAGATTCTCCATGGACGGCACCATTTAACTTCTGCAGGTATATTTGTGAATTAATGCAATGTGATCAATAAGACTAGTCACTACTTTAAGAAATACCTAGTTAATTGAAAAACTAACTTTTTATGAGATAAGATTTTGCTCATTCTTGCGAAAAACTTTTAAAAAACAGGCTCACCAGCATCTGATCTTAAATTTGTATCCTGGAAATATTATTATACTAAACTCTGCAATTTGTGAAGTTATACAAATGTCATGGGTGTTGCTGAGATCAGAAATATTTCACTAGAAGCAAACAATGCTGCTTTAATCCACTCCTCCATTGGTTCCCACAGCTGCCAGCACTCATTTATTTAAAGGATTATTTGGCATTTTCAGGAAATCACAACCCACTCACTGTTTTGGGAAGGGACTCGTGAGGTCTTGAAGCTTTTTGCTCACCTCTCTGTAGAAGCACTGTGGTCTCCTCCAGGCCGTGTCCTGCACAGCTGCCACGAGCTGCTGCTCCTCACCTCAGGAAAGCTCCTGCCATTGAAGGCCTCTTCCAAAAGCTGAGAGATCCAGTCTTGAGTGGAGCTGTTGTAATAAATCCATAATTTGCTTTGAATTCTCCATGACTTGACCATACCTGTGCAGCTTTCAAGCCACTGACAATGACATTGAGGCCTGAACCAACTGCAGTGGGTCTAAAATGAAAATATGATCATGAGAAGCCCAGTTGTGCTTTAAGGCACTGGGATAAATACGAGCTTAGAGTTAAGACTCTGAGCCTGGATATGATTTGTATTTCAGTAGTTGAGGTCTAAAGAATTGGAAACAAGCACATGTGGTGATTTGGATATAATTCAAATATATGAATATTAAAATCTGGTCTTTGTGCATACTGAGCTTTCAAAAGTCTTGATTTGTTTGGCAGCAGATTTGATGCAAGAAGCTGGATTCTGATCCAAGAGACTCAGTTGTTCACTGGGTACTGAGCAAGAGGCAGCTCTGGCTGGAGCATTTCTGGCTGTAATTGAATGTTTGTTGGAATAGGGGAGATTTATACACACACAAGTAAATTAGTGTCTGAGGTGAATTTTGTCATCTCTGTGAAATTGGAATGAAAAATAGTTTGGTTTTTTTTCCCGGTTGCTAATTCATGCTTTTCAGAGTGAAATATTGTGTATTGTACACCCTTGTTTTTTTCCCATTTGCTGTTGCTTGCAGCAGGATATCAGAACAACCAGAGTAGTATTTCATTTTCTTCTGTCAAAACATAAATGAAGCCAATATTACAAATTAAAGTGTCCTTTCTGTGGCAATTGTCTTGTGCCACTTAATGCCAAAGAACATTTTGTCAATACCAGAATGCTCAGTGTGGCTCAATGCTGGAGCAAATTATTTTACTTTATTTGGAAATATCATATAAAGAAATAAACCTTTTACCAAAACATCCAGTAAGTGAGAGAAAATTAGTCTATTATCTTACAAACAGATTTGCTTTTATTTTGTTTAATTGGCTGATTTTCTTTTGTCTCTGAAGACATTATTGTGACTGACAGTTTGCTAACTAGTTCATGGTGAACTTCAAAGGAAGGTTCCTGTTTCACTTGCAGGGGTGTTTCAGCCCATGTTTCCATGGGCTAAAATTTAGAAATTTCTAATAGATTTTAATGAGAATCCATTTGCACTGTCACATTCCCTGCTGGGTGGAGATAAAGGAGCTAAATCTAAATAAACTCTTGAAGGTATCTGGAGTAGAATCCTGTGAGTGGGCTGTACTCCAGCATGGAGAATGAGCTTTTTTCAGCAGCATTTGGGGAAGAATGTGGTGACTCCCATGGGACCTGAGGGAGCCCACGCTGCCTCTGCAGGACCTGCCCACAGATGGATCAGGGAGCACACAGCTGCAAGGACCCTGCAGGGTCAGCTCAGCTGGTGTCCCCTGTCCCAGCTCTGCGTGGAAAAGCAGGAGAATGCAGTGCTGCCTTCAGCAAAGCGAACCCCCCAATTTGGTGTGCTGCAAAATAATGTTTTCCCTTTTTTCTGAGTGGGAAAGTTGCCATTTGCTATTACCTGGGTGTGTAATGGTCTGGAATTATTGTTCGTTTTCTTATGCTGTGCAATTTGAGGAGTGTGCAGAGGTTAAACTGGTGGGATCCCAGGTCTAACTGCTTCTCTCAGGCAGAAAGTGGTTATCTTGTACAGAGTATTTCCTGATGTGCTGAACTTAAATATTTATGGTCAGAGTGGTAAAATAGCTGTGAAATCAATTAGTACTTTGTGTTTCCTTGACCAGTCAAGAGAGACAGGAGGAGATGGATGTCAAGAGGATTAGGGGGAAGGGATTCTGCCAGCACAGAACCCCACCATCAGCAGCAGCCACAGTGCTGATTCTGAATTTCAGAGGAATTCAAATTAGAAACTCCATTTCCCTTCTTTTCCATCTCACAGCCTCAAAACCTTCAGTGCCAGCCTTGAATTTGCCAGGATTGTGGGAGGCAAATAGGTATTACAAAGGTTTGGAAAGTGCATTTGACTGTTTCTTGTGATAGTAATATTTATTTCTTTTAATAACTGAGTTTTAACTTTTCCAGCAGACATCATATTTGCTCACAAAAGATTTTCTCTTGCCTCTGGGATATAATCTTTTCATCCCAACTGGCTACTAGCTGCAATGATCTAAACATTCCTACAAATTGCTGATATTAATCTCTGTGTCCTGCTCTTAACTGTGTCTTCCTTGGAGGCAAAATAGAGAAAAAAAGGAAAAAAAGCAACTCCTTCTGCCAATTTTGCTTGATGAGAGAAATTCCTGAGCTCTGAGTGCTCAAATCCACAGAACCTGGAAAGGCAGAAGCTCTTAATGCATGGCAATAGATGGGTAAAATGGGACATTTGAAATGCAAAAGGACATGAAAAAGGCAATAATTTAAATTAATGATGGAGAAGGAGGGGAAGAGAATGATCCCATCAGCTTTCCACTGCTGCCTGGCCAGTGAAAATCAGGAATCATAGGTGGAGGAGGGTGCAGTTCTTCATTTCTAGGGACAGGAGCTCCCTCACTGCTCTGGGTCTGCTCTGCACACTGTGGTGAGACAGGACAGGTTCACACACCCCAGCTGCTCTAACAGACACCAAAATTTGTACGTGCAGACAGAATGGCTTTGGCAGCTGCTGCAAGGCAGGCAGGGGTGGCTTTGAGTGCAGCAGCTGGGAGGTGGCACTCGAGTTCTGGGTGATGAGGAGGGAGCTGCTGAAAACGTTTAGAACTTGCTGATTTCGTACCAATGCATGTTTAGTGTACATTGAAGGCTCATCTGCTCCCTCCCACATGTAATTCCTCCCTTGAAGTGAGCATTCCTCCCTCTGGTTTGCTCTTCCCAGTTGGTGCTGTGAGCTCCCAGTCCGAGGAGTTTATCCATGGGTTCCATGCAGGATGTGGCAAAGGCTGGTCTGGGTTTCCCTGAGCCACAGCCCCACCAGGACACAGCTGCTGATTCAAACTGGGGGTATTTAGGGGGGGTTAAAGGAAGAAAACTCCCCATGTGCAGCAGCAGACAGTGACAGCAGCACCTTTTCCTACAAGGAGATAATTCAATGGAAAAGGTGTTGTCATTGCATTTGCAGTGGGACTCTTGTGGCCTTGGTGGCTGTATTTGTGTCTCAATTCCCACTCTTCCATCCAGGTCAGGGAGGTGTGTGCCAGCTCAGAGGGACACTGCTCTGCTCATCAGATGTGGCATCAAACCCAGAAAAATTGGAGTGATTCTGACCATCCATTGGAGCTTTTTCCATGTTAATTCTGCCTCTCCTGATGATTCTGTTTGATATTCTCTCCCAAAGGCAGATATCATAGGGGAGGTTGCAGTTCCTGTTGGGAATGCTGTTTAGAGAAGAACCCAGCCTTGACTCACCCCTTGCTGGATAAAAATCAGCATCATTGAGTCTGTGCTTTGGTACAGCTTTCCCTGTAGGACATTGCATTGCAGCATTTAAGTGATTTTGCCCCCTCAGTAATCCCATCAAACTCCTTCACACCAGGGACAGAAGTGAGCTGTGGGCTCCTGCACAGACCTGGCTGCCAGGTACAAAACCTTGGCAGTGTGGCAGCATTCTCTTTCTCACTGCTGTGGATCCATTTTTTCTCATTTACTAATTGAAAGAAGCTGTTCCTCCCAAAACCACATACCTGGACTGCACTTGTTGTACAAAACGTTCTGCCCTTACAAAACAATGACCTGAAAAATATCCCCTTTTTATATAAAATATTCTGTTCCATAAGGCAGGAAGACATTTTCAGAGAGGGACTGAGGATGAAATGTTTTGTCATTTTCTGTATGTAAAGACCAGTATTTTTCCTGGATGAATCTTTGAAAGTGTTTGGTGTTTCAAAAGGCAATATTGATTTAATAAATCAAAAGGCAAGAACTTACTGGTGATGGAAATGAAGGGAGAGTAACCAAGTATGTCACTATAAGATGAAATGAAAGTCCCAAATATATATTTTTGAGCCCATATTACTGCTAAGAGACAACTAATATGGACTGCCTTTATGTAGGGTCTTCCAGATGAGAATCTTGTTATTAGCTCTGCTTGTCTAATACATTCCAAAGCACAATTGATTTTGAAATCCTTTGGTTAGAAACGTTGCAGTAATTTTTAAATTATGTGCTGCTGTATCTCAGGCAAGGACATATATCCACACAGAGACCATAATTTTATTTAGTAGCCAGGCAGTCCTGCTTTATTGCACTGGTGACTCACTATTTTCCTGAGCAACCACAGAACTTGGCAGTTCAACTTCTCTTTCAGACTACTAAAAAATTTAGGATGTGTGATGTGTACTTGACTGGGCAATTTATTTCACAAAGAACAGAAACACGAGCAAACAGGAAAATGAAATGCAAGCCCCTCTGGAGTTCTGCCTGCCTCAGCTCCCTGCTCATTCCAGGGGAACAGAGATGTTGGAGTCGATGTTGCTGCTGCCTTTAGTGGGGATGGGCAGTGACTGGGCTGTCCTGCATCCCTTCCCAATTCACAGTATCCCTCTACAGTTGTTTAGAAAGACCTGAGGAGCACCTGCACCTCCAAACTCCTCCACACCATCACCAAATGCAGCTCTTAAGTAAATGAACTCTGATCTCTGAGGAGGCCCTGACTGACGAGGCTGACGCAGGAGGCGACCTGGGTGCTGCTGGCACCTGCAGCCTTTCCCTGTGTAGAACTCAATTTGTACTGCTCTGTGAGTCAGATGTGATCCCAGAGTGTGGAAAATATTTGACATTTCCATTAGTCTGAACAGCAGAACCCCCTTTCTTTTTGGTGTAGCTGGTGTTTCATCCTGAGTATCACAATCACGCGGCTTGGGAAAACTTAACTGAGGTTTTTCGAGTTTTGCTCTTTTCCTAAGTTTTGATTCCTTTTACAGCAGAACAAAAATATAAATATTGAAAAGAAAGGTTTAATTATTGATAGTCCATAAGTTAAGTGAGCCTCATGATTTCAGGCTTTGACACAAACAGTTGGGATAATGATTTTGCCTTGTCTCCTGCATTGTGCTGCCATACTTCCTCCTTTGCCCTCAAATGCACATCCCAAGAAGTCTCTGAGCTGTATTTTCCAAGATATCAGGGTACCCAAGGGCGTGGGTGGGTTTAGCCTAACACTTGCAAAACAATCTAACTCCCACTGAAACCCGTGATTAGCTGGAGTAAGGATTACAGGATTGTCTTTCTGGCCTTTTTCAAGGAAATCTGTCCTTCTCTGCATGTCACAGATGTACCTAATGCTGGAGTTAGTTAACACAGGGGTTTTTCCTTTCGTTTTTTGATGGGGTTTTTTTGGTGATTATTTTGCAGATTATTTTGTGATTATTTTATTTTTCTGATTATTTTATTGTGATTATTTGGCAGATTATTGCTTACCAGCCCTATGGGAAGTCTGTGGATTGGTGGGCATATGGTGTGCTGCTCTATGAGATGTTGGCTGGCCAGGTAAGATTCCCCCTCCTGTGCTCTCTGTGGCCTCCTCCTGCCCTCCAAGGCTGCTCTGTTTCAAGGCTCCCTAAAGGTTTAGACCATTACAGGATAGGATTGAAGCCTTTCATTCTGCTGTTATCTCCTTGTACTCTTGACTGACTCAACTGAGAATGTATTTAGGCTTTAAGCTCTTTATGTTGCACCCACATAATCAAGCTCTGCCTTTGAATACAGCTCCTTTGTACTGCAATAATGTTATAAATAGCCATCTTCAGAATTGAAAGGGAGACACTTGAGCAGGAAAACGCATGTCAAGTGGAAGAAATACCATTTAGGAGTTTGAAACCACAGGGAAGCATAATAAGACTGTGTATAAGCTCTGCATTGCAGTTAAGTCCCAAGAATACAGTTTTTGTACTGTATGTCCTGGGGGTAAAATATGGGCCTCAGCGCTTGGAAATGTGCTCAGTTCCAGACCCCTCATTCTGCACATTTAATGAGAGGCTGCTCTGAGTCACTCGGGTGGGGAAGCAACACTGTGCTGGAAGAAATGGCAAAAAGCACCAACTTGAACGAGTTCTCTTGAGCTGAAAAAGATTCCTGCAGTTGGCTTTCAGGGTGTGTTAGGTACAAGCAGGCATTTCCCAAGCTTAAAACATACATCTGCAACAAATGCCATGAAGAGTTCCTCTGCAAAATTCCAGTGGACATTTAAAAACTTTTAGTGTGTAGCAACTGCAGCTGTTAACATTTGCAGGCTGAATTGCAAATATTGGCCCTCTGAATGCCTTGGAGGAAAGGAAATTTACCATTAGCTGGTCTTGCACAGGGCCCATATCCTGGGGATTTATCCATGGACACTTTCCCACCCCTGTATTTCAAAATATAGTGCAGCCCTTTCTTGTGATAGTCTCAGCAGCAGAATCCACAGCCAGGACATAAAACAAACTGGAGTTTAACTGGAATTAAGTGAGGAATAGATATACCTTAGCACAAGGTAATTGAAAGTTATTCTCCAAACTTCACCCTTTGAAGTATTTTGCCTGTCTGATGCACAGTAGCTTTAAAACCTGGTTAAAGCTGATCACAAAGATAATCCTGCACACCTTTCATTAACCTGGCTGCCATTCTGGGGACAGAAATGATCATTTCTCCTTGATTTTAATCTGAGACTGTCAAACACTAAGCTTCTGGGTCAGCAGATATCCAGGCTGCAGATTGCTGTGGGTTTGGGGGTGTTCCTGGACCAGGAGCACTGCTGTGTATGGATCTCTTTGGGCATGGTGTTGTCATGCCACTTCACAAAAAGTGGAGAATTTAAAAGCACAAAAAGGAAAACTCAGTAAGTTACTCACTTTTGATTTATTTTCAACAGCCTCCATTTGATGGGGAAGACGAAGATGAACTATTCCAGTCCATAATGGAGCATAATGTTTCCTACCCAAAATCACTGTCCAAAGAAGCAGTCTCCATCTGCAAGGGGGTGAGATAAAATGTTATTTATCATTAAGTTCCTTTTTGGCAGTCCTTGTGAGTCACTGGGTTTGCCTGGCTCTGACGCAGCAGTGTAGTATTTTAAAGTGCAACTTCTGTCAGGCAGTACTGAGCTGTGTTGTCACTTGGTGTCACTGGTAAGTGCTGGGCTCTTCCCACTGTGCCTGTTTGTTTTATGGAAAGAACAAATGTCAGAATCAGTGGCTGCCAAATCCATAGCAGAATTTATAAGCAGGACCATGGTGTGAAGAGTCTCCCCCTGCTTTGCCTCTCGACCCATGGCAGCACAGCCCTGATTCTGCAGGGTGAGATTTCTCAGCTTGGCTGGAGATACTCCAGCCTGTCCTCAGCCCAGAATGCCTACTGACAGGATCAGAGCTTAGGAGTTTAGGAGAATCACTTTCAAATGTAGGTGAAGATGAGCTTATGTGAAAATCTTTAGCATACATGCAAGGAAACCATAGGGAAATTCTGACCCAGTGGTACCTGTGTGGCCAAAAATTAGCCTTAGATACTAAATTAATTTTTTTTTTTAACTTTTGAGGAAAATAATAGATTTGGCTTCAGGGGATTAGCTTAGGAAAAAAGAATTCATTTGACTTTCCTTTGATTCCATGTGATTCTCCAGAGCACCATCAGTCTGCAGCTTTTCCAATCCACCGCCTGTAATGGGTTCTTTGATATCTGACTTACACTGATAAAACACCACTGCACTTAGTTAATTTGGTATTTACATTCTTCCTATCCTTTTCAACCATTTATGAAGTATTATACATGAGCTGGATATTAGTCCATTAAAGAAATCATCAAGAAAAAGGTGTTTGGAACAAGAAGGTAAAATGAAAGACTGTGCTAATTTTGGAGCTTATCCCAGTGTAGATGTGCTGGCCAACAAAAAATAAACATGATGTATTTTTGTAAAGTACATTCAGATTGCTGCCTTGTTGTGACAATCACATATTCAAACAGCACAGTCTGAACCTGGTGAAATTGCCCTGTTTTCAGCTCCCGTTTGCTGGGAGGGCAGAAAGCTAAAATTACCCTGCACCTTGAGATTTTGGGCAAGTCTCTGTGTCATGTTCTTCATCTGCTAAACTGACAAATTGATCTCAGGTTTCAGTGGGAGTTTTTCCTGAGCTGAGAAGTCAATATGAGAAAGTTTCTGACCCTTGCAGTCAGTGGTAGCTCAGCAATCCTGGACTGGGCAACACTGGGCAAGACAAATATGCCCACTTTGCTCTTGGAATTGATTTGTCTGCTTGACTTCTGTCCCACTGATTGAGAGTTTGTTGGTTTTGGTAAATGCAGCAACTTTGGAAAGAATTAAAACTACTGGAATCAATACTCCCATTTTCTGTTATCACCGACTGTTAAAGCAAGGGGTTTGGAAAAGGTAACAAAAATGGAAATGTTGCTGTTAATCTTGAAGAAGGCTGTGATTCCTGCCCAGTGCACAGCTGCTTCCCAAACCTGCTTAGAGTCACTTTTATTTTAGGTTCAAAATTGGAATCAGATCAACTCAACATTTGGAAGGAGACTAAAGTGGTACTGAGGTTTTAAGAAGATCTGTTGAAGTATCACTCCCAGCAGTACATTAATTATATATAATTTGTAAAAGAGCTTTAAAAAGTCCCCACGAAACTGGAAGTGAGAGTTTAAGGCTACATTGCACAATTCCCAATGTACATACCAACTGGAAAATGCTGAGGAACTTATTAATTAGGGAGCACATTCCAGTTTCTAATCACGCCAGGCTGGTGGATTTGGGGCTGGTTTGTTTCCCCAGGTCTGTTTAATCTCTGTAACTGGGTATGGTATTGACCAGGATGTCATTAAGAATGCAAAGGAGGAAACACAGATTAGATGTTGTCAGCTGGGTGCCAAAGAATTGGAGGCTCTGTAATGAGATGTCTTGAACAAGCCCCAGAAAAATGAAATGGGAGTGTGGGGGGGTGGTACTTCATGGAGCTTTAGTGCTTTGGAATTTATGATGTTTAATTGATTGTTGAGATAGGGCAGGAGCTGTTCTGGAGATCTGTAAGGCTGAACTGAGAGACTGGAGGTGCAATTCAGGAGTGACTTACGAGGCAGCAGGGATGGCAGCACGTCCTGGGCACCACCTGCACCTCCAGCAGCAACCTCTGCCCAGTGGGAAAAATTTCCCCAGTGCAGCCCCTAATTTTGCTGCTGATTTGCTGTCCCCCAGTGATGAAGCAAGAAAATTCTTCCAAAAATTCATTTTAGCTTTTCAAAACAATTTTATTAGCAGTGTGTATCTTCAGGAGAGGGGCAAGAGCATTGCAGGCAGGGGAAAGTCCTTCTCACTTTCCTTCCAGCATTAAACCAAATTGTTTGGTGTTTTCTTCCCAACAGCTGATGACTAAACATCCTGCAAAACGCCTTGGCTGTGGTCTGGAAGGTGAAAGAGACATCAGGGAACACGCTTTCTTCAGGAGAATTGACTGGGAAAAATTGGAGAACAGAGAGATTCAGCCACCTTTCAAACCTAAAGTGGTGAGTGAGATGCCAGAGGTCCAGAGGCCTCACTGCTCCATCTGGGTCACCAAAACTGATGCCTTAAGGAGCTGGAACAGAGGCTAGATGAGTTAAGGGGAATAAAAAGGATATTTATTGAAGAGTCTTCAAAGGCCACACCCTGACAGTACCAGAGCCACAGTCGTGGCTCCAAGATGGAAGAAAAGAGACCTTGGTCACAAGATCTCACATTTTTATAAGTTTTGATCCATTTGCATCTTGGAGTTCATTGTCCAGTTCCAGCTTTAGCCCATCCAGTCCCATCCTGCTTGTTTTTCTCTCTCCAGCCCACGTTGTTTGTGCTCTTGGGCTGAGATTTGGATCATTTGTCCTTGGTGCCCAGCTGGAGCAGGAATTGTTTTGTCTCCCTGCTCTGTGCAGAGAGCTCACCATCCCCTGATGTGAACCCAGACCCACACACTAAAGCAGCACAGAATCTGAAAAATAGAAAAGCTAAACCTGAGGCATCATTTCCCTCACTGGCTGTGGCTGCAGCCCTGCTCCCTGAGGGGTGGGGTTGCTGCTGCAGATCTGGGGCATGGCTGAAATGAGGCCATCTGATGAGGGCAGGGCTGTCTGTGACCCTGTCCTGTTTTGGTGTAACCTGGGGAACTTTGTGCCTTGCAAAAAAGCCTCACAGTGGTTTGAGGCCTGCCTGGATGGTCACACACCACGTGAGGAGCTGAACACAGGGAAAATTGGCACATCCACATCAGCCACTTGACAGTGGTCATAAATGAGGTTGTCTCCTCTGAGCAACATCTAAAGTCAGGATCTGACTGTGGGATTTGGATTAGAGGGGTGATTTTCCTCCTTGGTTGGCTGCCTAGCACAGAGTGTTTTATTCCCCATCCTACACCAATGTCTACTCAGTTTGCAAGATTAATCCCTGGTTTATTTTCCATGTTCATCACTGGTTTGCACACATGTATCTACAGGAACATTTTAGAAATCCAAGCAAGTGGAAAGATGTCCTTACCCTGAGAGCTGTTTGTATAATAGAATTGGAAGAGCTTTGCTTGTTGAGCCAGAATTTCTTTCAGCATGTACTGTGTTTCATTGACAGGCAAAGAGAAGAGTTTGCACACAAGAACACAAGCTTTAAGGAACAGCTGTAAATTGTTATGTCCTAACATTGAACCTTTCTTCTCTAACCCTTTTATTTTTCAGTAGAGAATCCTGGCTGGCTTTAGCACTTCAGGTGTAGGATGACTGCTCTTACACTGATTTATTTGCCAATACAGACACAGCAGTGTCTGTCACAAACACATGAGCAGAGGGATGCCAATACCTGAATTATTCTTCACTTTTTTCATACAAATGACTTTTTTGCATGAACAGGAGGAGAGTTGAAGCTGAGAAGGGTGTTTATTGCTAAAGGAAATACCTTTTTGCTATGGTGTGGATTTTGCAGGCAGGGAAGGGTGTAAATAAGTGAAGAACTTGTGTGGTGCTGCCAGCCAGCCCTTCCCCAGAGCTGGCTGTGCAAAGGGGAGCTCTTAGAGCTTATTTTATTTGAGATTTTTATTGCATGCTTCTCAAGTCAAATTTAAAGCTGATCATAAAGCACATCTACCTTCGCATCTGTAAGTTTTATTAGCTGAGGAGCTGAGTGCTTAGACTCTCCTTGAAGTTAAAAGTAACAGCAGCGTGAAGGTGCTAAAAGCTTGAAGTGTGGTTTGGTTCCATCAGAGCATCCTGGCAGGTCCTGGCTCCTCCTCAGAGCAGCTGTGCTCTGTCTCCCTGGTTATCATGACCTGGTTTGTTTGCACAGGCTGCTATTAAAATACACCGAGGCGGATTCACACAGAGCCCAACTCTCCTGGACAAAAATAACCTAAAATCCAAGTCCAGTATTTACATATCCTGTGCACAACTTATTTATAGTGATTGCTGATTCTATTTGTATCAGTATCATACAGTTATAGAATCATTTAGGTTGGAAAAGACCCTTAAAATCACTGATTTCCAGCCATTATCCCAGAACTGCCAAGCCCACCACTAACCCGTGTCCCTAAACACCACATCTACACAAGTTCTAAATCCCTCCAGGGATGGATATTGATTTTAGAAAGCAAAAAACACACAACCTTTAATCTGTTTGAAGACATGGATGTATCTATTGGCTTTGTTTGGGGTGATATTTTTTGGGAAACCTTTGTAGGTACATCTTCTCTAGGATGTGCTTTCCTGCAGGAATAATCCTGCTGCTTCCACAATCCTCACTCAAACACAGAGCTGCAGATTTTGGGTCAGCAGTTGGGTGCTGTAAATAACATGTTCCCTTCCAGACTGACATTTCACAGGTTATAGGCATAGACTGATTATTTGGCAAGGACATTTTACTCTTGTTTCCAAGTTTAGGGGTTTGAGGAGTTCTGTAATTTCAGTTGGACTCTAATACTGCTTTAAGGTTCAGTGCTACTCTTTAATGTGAGGACAAAAACCTCATTGAAGATACAAATTTATTTGTAAGTTTCTCTATTTGCTCCCAAAATATGCCCACATTTAATGTGATTTATTTCTTAGCCTTTACTAGCCTAAGCAATGGGAGACACCTAATGCTTTCAGGAACTTTGGGTTCAATGTCCAGCTTGTTTGAAGACTTTCCACTTGCTGAAAAAAAGAAGAGGGGAAAAATTTTAAAAAGAAAGAAAATAGCATAATTTTTATTGCAGGATGGTGCTTATCTGTAGAACATCTTTTTAGCAAAAATTTCCTTTTTAGCAATAAAAAAAATCTCCTTTTGTGGCTGCTCTGAGCTGGCTGTTGTTCCCCTAAATTAATTCGTCCTAATTTGGGGCTATATGCCAATAATTCAGAGGTTTTCTCCTTGTCAAAGTTCAGCTCTTTCCATTCTTGTTTTCTAGAGATTCTGTCCCAAAATGCAGAGGCTCAGTGGGCACCAGGGCATTCCATGAGAGCTGCAGAACCCTGGGTGGAGAAAGCAGAGCCCCGTTAGTGACCGTGGGGCAGTGTCCCTGTGCTGGTGTTCTTCCAAGGTGGACAAGTGTCCTCTGTGAGCTCTGGGCTCCAGGACCTGAGCTCGTGGTCTGAAATCGGAGCCAGCGTGTGCCTGAGGCAGCAGAAGTTCTTTGCAGCTCAGCTCAGATGGCAGGGCCAGCCCAGCACCTGCCAGGTGCTCTGTGGGGAGGTTGGAAACTCTGCCTGGGTTGGAAACTCTGCTTCCCAGCCTCTCACTCTGAATCCCCTCAGTGGGCCCCTCTCCAGTGCTCCTCCTACAAATGCACAGATTTAGCCACGTTGCATTAATTCAGAAAAAAATCAATATTTCACATTGTTCTCCTGTACGAGCCAAATTCTGCCCTTTCCGAGTTATCCTCTGAGCCTGAAGATAATAATGGAATTTCACCCTTTATATCCACATACAGGAATGCTGAAGGGATGGATAGAGAGGAAAGGGTGAGGAGCAATGGGAAGAAACATTCACTGCCTTTATCCCACACCTGCTTTGTCCAAAGATCTGTTACAGTAGTTTTGAGATGAGCACATTTGCCAGTTTCCTCCTCACCTCTCCACAATATTCAATGCCTAATTTTCCTCAAATATTCTTTTTTTTTCTTTCACATAAGCTAATTTCATTCTGGTACCACCTTCCTATTTTTATCATGCTTCTGATCATACTTCACTGCTTATCAAGTCTTTTCTGCATTCCTCCAAACTCTTCTTTCTACAAACCTGGTTTCTTTTGTTTTCTGTTCTGAAGGAGTTGTGCTCAGGCTGTAGCTGTATTTAACCCCCTTCTTGGCTGGATTTTGCCCAAAAATGAGTCTCTTAAGAAAATAAAGGAGGAAACCTGTGATAGCAAGTTTTGGAACAAGGATCTGTCCCAGCATGTGCTCCCTGCCCAGCCCTTTTGCCATCCCAAGGACTGAGACCTTGCTATAATTTATGAATTTATAGGAGTTCAGTGAATTTATAGGAAATCTATGAATTTCTAAATTTATTAATAAAAATAAATTTATGAATTTATAGGAATTCAGTTCAGAGCCTGTTCAGTGAAGACTGAAAGCACATAAATGAATTGCATCAAGCTTTTTGCAGATCATAAAGGAAACCGACTATCATGAAAAATTTAATTTTGTATGATAAGGCTTTTAAAAAGAATGAAACAACTTGACAAAGAAAGTATCTCTTGCCAACATATGTTTATCAAAATATTTCCCTCTTCCTTTTGTATCCCAGTAATGCTGAATATTTAAGCCTCTTTATCTCGTCACCCCATGCTGATGGATGGAAACATTTCTGACTGCTTTTTATCAGGATTCAGCTATTAAAACTTCACTGTTTGCCTGGGATTTTTTTGTCAGAATATCTGAAAGGAAAATTTTCCCTCAACTACTCATAAGAAACATGCCTTGCATGTATCCTGACAACTCTGCTGTTGTATTGCTGACTTTTTTCAGCCTTTTTTTCTGCTTTTCTCTCTCCTTGCAGTGCGGCAAAGGGGCTGAAAACTTCGATAAGTTCTTCACACGAGGACAGCCGGTGTTGACGCCTCCAGATCAGCTGGTCATTGCCAACATAGACCAAACAGATTTTGAAGGGTTCTCTTACGTCAACCCCCAGTTCTTGCACCCCCTTGTAGAAAATGTAGCATGAAACAGCAGAACAAATCCCGCTGTGGGGAGCAGTTGTAACCCTACAATTTTTAGGCTTTCGCCTCGTTGATTCCATTTGGGCCTGGAAATTGTAGGGTTAGAGGGTGGAAGATGAAGGAAGGGCCACTTAGTCAGGATTTGGGCTTTGCAGCAGCAATGTTGTCTTAACAGGAGATAAATTAGTGTACGGTGCCCACTTTTTCTTCTGGAAGTCGCCACTGACTTGTCAAAACTTACCCGTGTTTTGGTACGTTCTATATTTTGTAACTTCCCACTTGTCCTTTTGCTCCCTTTTCCACTCCGTTGTGTTGGAAAATCATCTGACACGTGGTCTGAATGAGAAGCCACCTCGGGTGTCTGTTCCTTGAGGGTGGATGTTGGGAGGTGGGAGCTCATCCCTGTGCTCCTGGAGACCTCGGGGACAGCACCGGAGACTGAGCGGGGTCAGCTCCACGGGGAGAGACATTGCAAAAACATCACTGAAAGTGTCTGCAAAATATGGCAGGAAAACAAAATAGTTGGGAATGGGTGGGAGGGGGGATGAAATCAAATTAGACCCCAAGGCTTGGTGAACCAATCCTGTAAAATCCCAAATGAAAGTGCTAGGGTGGTGGCCACGTCTCTAGGATTTGTGCTAGGAGTAGCCTGTGATAAACTCGAGGGTGAAATTTTGTCTTTCATAATAATAATAATAATAATGATGATGATAATAGTAATAATTTTAATAATACTTTTGTGAATTTTTAATCTCCATGAGATTATTCTGTGATCCAGGGTGCCATTGTCTGTTCAGTTGGTTTCATTTACACCACTCCTTAAGTTTACTGTTAACTGGTTCTAATACCAATATTTTACTATGAAATTTATTAACCTGGAATGTAAAACAAAACTGTAATTCCTTATATCTTATTTACATGTGTTTATTTATAGTCTGCAGTGTAGGACAGTAAATTGAAGAAAGCATTATGTGTACTAAATTAACAAAAAATGCAGCCCCAAGTGACTTCCTGATTTCTCCAGAATAACTCATGAAAATCAAGTGAGATTTAGTCTTAAATAATCGGTTTTAATTCAGAAAACTTTGGGCTGTAGAATAATCAAGCCTGAAAAAAGCAGCACCTAAAACTTGTTTTGTTGATAGAATGGAATTTAATACGTTTTACATATGCTTCATGCAATGAATTTTGCATGTTTAGTAATAACTCTTAATAATAAGGGTTAATAATAAGCAGATCTATATTATTGACATAATCGTATCAAGCATAAAGAGTATTATAAAAATTTTATAAAACAACTTGTGCTTTATTTGTGAAAGTTCTTGTTCTGAATGACACCATTTAGATTTAGCCAAATGTTTTCTTGCTATTGTTTAGATTTTTACTTTAGGTTTTGAATATTGTTACTGGCTTAGGGTATAATCTCTTTTTTTTAAAGTAGATATACTTTTAAATAATAATTGCTACCTGCAGGTTTTATACAAGGTTCAATTAGGCTTTCATTTCACATCTGCTTATTACTTGCAGAGAAGGAAATAGACTTTATTTAAAATGATGAACACTGTAATTAATGCAATCTTCTCCTCTCTTATCACTTAGACAAAAAATTTTGATATTTCCTCTTATTACTTACCAGAAGATATTAACTCAAATATCAGTAAATAATGTTTTGTGCATATTTTGGTTTTGTTACAGCATGTAAAATAGTAGTTGGTGCTTTTCCCTTTTTTTCCCCTCTCCTGCCTTGATCCCATTAGCAGCCACAGGCACTTTTTGTCTGTCAGATGTGCATGATGATGCCAGAAGCATGATGTCTCTGTTGCTGCATGCAGACTGATTACAATTTTTCCAGCATGTAAACATATTCGAAAAGTAAGATATTTGCCATTAAATACTTCAATTTATACTAGAATATGTAATGGGGTGGGGTGGGAGGGGAGGGAAACCTACTTTCTAATCATCTTTTATGACAATAAAACGTGGAACCTGTGCCAAAGATTCTGTCAGAAAGATCCAGTCCTGCCAGGTGGGAGCCAGAGGGGTGGGGGTGACCGGGGGTGACCGGGGGGAGCTGGGCAGTTGTTGAGGGAGACGTGGTTGGATGTGGAGGGTGACAGTGTTGAGCTTCTGCACCTGCAGGGCCCTTGGGAAACGTGGCTTTGGGGCCAGGATGTGCCATTTCCACACTCCAGAACTCCAGTTGTTGCCCTCAGTCCTTTTGTACCCGCAGCTCCCACGAGGAGCATCTTGGAGTGATCCACCCCTGACATTCCAAGGTGTGGCTCACGAGGGGCGTGGGCAGCTGACAGGAACTCAGATCATTGCCTAAACAAACAGGACTCCAAACTTCTCAAACATTCTAGGAGTAAGATTTTTAAACTGTTCTGTGTCAAGTATGTTGTCATCCAAACTGGGAGTTCATTTTCTCCTTTGTGTATTTTGTACTTCCAAAACGATGGTATTCACCATAAAGCATGTGGCCTAATGCAGCATTCATGACTTCTTTTCTTTTTTTCTTGTGAATATTATTAGCCTGGCAATGTTTAGTAAAATGCTGTAGAAGACAATAGATTGAATTAAGATTACAGATTACTGAGTCTCAGATTTTAATAAAGGGGCTCTTAGCTATGCCAGTCTGCCAAGAGGTGCCATTGTGTTTGTTTTTTAAAATGTGAAGTGAAAAAGACACTTTGGAAAAAGGAAAATACAGGGAGAAATACCAGCATACAGGTTTGGGGAGTAAGCAGAGCAGAACAGGGCCAGAATTGGGCCAAGCCAGAAACCAGGCAGGAGCTCCCTTGTTGCCACAGTTCTATTTTCCTGATGAAATCTGAATTTTCCAAGGAAGTCCCATTGCTGGCACAGCTGTGACATCAGTGCTGTTCACACCAGGACACGGTGTCACAGGGCTGCTCTGACACTGGGACAGGGCTGCTCATTTTCTGGCTGCTTCTCATACCCACTTTATTCAGCCCTTGTGTTTGTCTCCCAGTTTTTCTGACGTAGAAGCAGAAATTCCTCTTTTACGTCGTTACCTCAGGTCCCCAGGCTTGTGACAGACGTTGCTGTCTTCTGGAGGTTCCCAAAACACTTAGGAAAAGGTACTGTGAACTCATGGGTCCTGCAGGAGCAAGGCAGGGCTGGATAAAGCAGGGATTCGTTGTGTTACCCCTCACTGCTCTTCTGGATGCCCTCAGATGCTCTGACCTTTCCCGAGAACCCCCGCTGGCTGCTCAGAATCCAGAAACTTATCGTGCAAGGAAAACCTGAAGAATCCAGCCAGAACTTTCGTATCTTTTTAGAGACAGATGTTATTTATATAATATTTTTCACAAGATTTGGTTTTCTAGAGAACATGTATCAACAGAAGGAGAGGCATTAGAGCTGCTTCTCTTTCACTTCTTTGATAGCAAGTGTAATCCCAACACCCACGTTGCCACCAAGATTCCCAAAAGGCAAATTGAAAATTGTACTGCACTGAAGCTGGGGTGGAAGTTTTGGGAGCTGTGTTTCCATCCCTGTGCTGGAGTCCCAGATGGTTCCAGGGCAGCCCCATTCCTGCCAGGAGGGGCACAGGTTTGCCATGTAAAACTTCCAAGGGGTTTTCAGGGATCAAATGGGACTTAACTGGCTCCTAGGCAAATTCTGACATTATTCAGGCATCTGGATGCTTTTGTACACCTTTGAGTGACCAGAGCAGGGTGGTGTGATTCCAGGACAGCCACTTCACCCACTGGCCAGGCTCAGTGCTCTGAGCAGGGTTGGCACATATGTGAGAAGGAGAGAACACATTCCTATGATAAAATAGTCCTTCAAAATCCAGTTTTGAGGAGAAATTAAATTTAGCTTTCTGATTCTTCATTCTTTCCAGAAATACAATTGAATTTCCTTTTACAAACTGAAGAAAGTTCTTCTGGAAATCAGCTGTTAGTTTAAAAAAAAACCTCATAACGTCTGAATGCTGCTGGCCTTTGAAATCCATCCTGTCTTTTTGGGGTGAATCCAATTCAGTGGTGCTGGGCTTCTATAAAATTAATAAGGTCGAGCAAGAGAGGAACTTGTCTTCTAGCTGGAAAGATGACACATCCAAGTGTGGAGTGGTACCAGTTGAAAAGTGTTTTCTGAGCCAGTGCCTCTGGATGCAATCCCAGTTAAATGCCATAGGAGACACATGCAGTGAGCAGGGGGGGCAGATCCTCCTTATTGTGCAAAGCATAGCATCGGAAATAATTAATAATAATAATAATAATCCAATAATAAAGCTTTGATACAAGTAGAAAGCATATGTACAGTATATCAAGTTTACAGTAGGCTTTTGGACCTGCCAGGAAACTTCTGGAAATATTTAATGTGATTTTCAGTTCTTTTAGTCATTAGCATAAGTTATTGTACATAGGGGTTTTGTCTCTTTGCAAACGTGAGTGTGGGCTGTGTTTGATGTGTCCCCTCTCTAGGTGGGCACTGAGCTGCCAAGTAGTCAAAAAGTAGAAAAGCTAAAAAGCACTTTTTTCCCTCAGCCCCTCACTCACAGACAGGATCTGAAATAGCTGAGTCGCAGAAATAAGTAAGATTTGACTCCATGAACATGCATCTCACTGTGCCAGTAACAATTGGGAATTAAATAGCCTTATCATGAATAATGATCATGCACTACAGCCCTCTTGTTCCCAGGAACTCCTTGAGAGGGAGAGGCCTCTTGTCAACCTCTGCCTCACCTCACCTGTGGAATGGGGCAGTAACACTGACTGACCCCAAGGGAGGGGTGAGGACTTCTTAGGCAATGTTTCTAATTCACTTTTAACCTGAAAAGAGTTGTGTAAGTATTATTATAATTTTTACTATCAAATCAGCTTCTTGGATTCACATGGTACTGCTGGCTATACCATGCTGTTTCTACTTTTTTATAGAACTTTAGTAACTCTGCTGAAACCGTTTGAAGAGAAATAAAATCAGATCTGACACGTTTCTTACAGAATCTGGAGTCCAGCTTTTGTACCTGGAGTCAGGGTGTGATGGGGGGTGATGCTTGCTGATTGTGTGGGTCAGCTGCACTTACCTCTTCTTCCTGCTACTGAGATTTTTACGTGCAATTTAAAAATTCCATGTGGATGGAAGTCTTAGCAGACCTGACAATTGGAGGGGGAGATTCCCTTTGGGTAAATAAAGTCAGCACAGCTGTTTTCTAGCACCGTTTTTACTGTCTCCTGCTGAAGGAGGAGCTCTGTTCTTTGTGCAGCTGGTTTGTCCATGACAGGTCAATATTTTTTGTTGATATTTTAATGTATTTCTGTGTTGTAAATGTGTCTTTGTGCTTCTTTTTTTTTCCTTGTCTGTGACACTGTAGTTCAAATTTAAAAGAAAACTGCTCCAGAAGCTGGTTTTTCCTTCCACTGGTGTCAGTTGACCTAAATAAATAAATTAAGTCTGTTAATGATTTGAAACAGTGCAGGATGAGTAGCAACAACATTGACACAGCTGCCATTGAAGCTCATTTCTCACTGGTTACATTGGACACTCTGCAGCTGATGTTTCATTAGTTTTATAATTAATAATGACAGGAACGTTTTAATGGAAAGGAAAGTGATGTTCATGATCTTTACAAACATTTTCCTGAGAACTATTTGGATTTCTTTTCCTTCTCTCTGAACCCCTTGGGGTGGCCCTGCCAAGGGCTCTGTCCTTCCAGAGCTTCACACACTCCTGGCTTAAAAATCTTAAAATTAACAAACCAAAACCACTGCAGCTTCCAAGGCACCCAGGGAACCACAGAGCTCCCTGGGTGCTGAGTGCTCGGCCAGAAGTCCCAATTCACTGAAAATATTAATTAGATTGTGTGTTTGTACCCACTGTTGGCCTTGCAGTATAAAAACAATGCTCTTGCAGGGGTAATAAAAATTTAATCTATGGCTCGTTCCCCAAACCTTTAATTTGTTCTCTCCTGTGTTATCAAAATGTATGTAAAAAAAAATAAATTTCAACAAAATGAAGCTCATTGGCTCTTTCTAAAATGTGCATTTCTCAATACTCGTGGTTTTGCACAACAATACAGAGAACACCTCAAACTTCTCAAATGACTGTATGCTACTTAATTTTTTCAAACATTAAGTAATCCCACCTTGAAATCATTAATATTTTTAATATTATTTTAAGACCCAAGTGTTGAATTTATATAGAGGAGAACATTATTTATTTTCATATCACCTATCTGCAAGATTCTACCAGAAAATTTGGAGTTGCCATTCATTTTTCAAAAGATTTTAGAAAAACCCAACCATTGGAAGTGTAGTGGGCAAGACTGATGTACAAAGTACAGCGTCTTTTTTTTGGTTTTTTTCATAATTCGCAGTATCTTCAACCTTTGTTTGCATGAAATGCTTTTGTTAAGTATTAATTGTAGTTCCAAAGCAAGTGTGTATGAATAAAAATACTGATCATTACTTTTGTGAGAGTTTGGTCTGCCTTGATGAAATTTCCTTTCAAAATTGCCTCCCCCAGGCCCAGAGGCTGCAGAGAGGTTGGTGTGAGCAGCCACAGAAATTGCCCAGTCTGGACCCTGATTCTTCAGAGACAGAATTGTAACCTGGGTTTTTGTTTTTAATTCTTGTTAATGAATTATCTAAAAAAGGTGTGTCTGGAAGAGGATTTCTGTGTGCTGACCTCGGCGGTTCTGGGCTGCTCCAGGTGTGGGAGCCAAAGGGAAAAATAGCCCCAGGAGCCAAAGGAGGTCTCAGATTGGAGGGTTTGGTTCAAAGCTTGATGTGGGACGTGGTGCTGGGGGGCTGTGCCCTCCTTGGGAGCAGCCAGACCCAAAAAACTCAAATTCAATTTGTCTCTGAGTGTGGGAGGCCTGCTTGGTTCATTCCACCCTCTGCTGCTTCCTCCTGGGAGGAGGGGCTGTTTCAATGATTGATAGCCTAAAATTCCCAGCATCCGGAACTCCAACAGGCAAAATTAGAGGAAAAGCCTTTAGTTTTGATCACTGATGACCCTGAGGGCCCCACCTGGGTGATGAAATATCTGATTTATCACTCCTGGTTTTCCCTTGGGCCCCTGGGGGACCTCCCAGTCCCACCAGCCCCGTCCACCCCACGTCCCCAGCCTCGTTCACACTGACATCATTGGTTTTCAAAACTTGAGAGCAATGTCCAAATATTGTGACAGCTTGACAGACAGCTCCCTTTCCTGCCTGCTCTCACAGGATTGAAGCTCATGCTGATTCAGTTACTGGGTTTGTTTCATTTGCAGAAGTCTGGCTGAGTTTGCCCCGAGGAATGGTTGAAATTCTGGGTTTTTTTCCAAAGAGCCAGTGTTTCCAGGCTACTTCACATCTGTCATCCAACGTGCTCAGCTGCTGAAGCCCGTGAACACATCTCAGACCTTGGGAGCTTTCTGCAGAGCAGAACAGGGACTTTGGGGACACATCCCTGCCCTGAGCTCATGGACACAGAGCTGGTGCCTCCAGGGCAGGAGGAAGGAAGTCCTGAGCTCTCCATTCTTCCAGAGCTGCATCTCCAGCCCCTTGGCTGGCCAGGATTTGTGGCCAAACCACCACAGTGCCCATCCAAGGGGCTGCTGGCTTTTGGGGTGACAGCTTGGACATGAGTTTCTGAACTGTCTCATAGGGGAAAAACGAGTCCAGCAGAGCTGTGGATGGCTGGCAGGGACTCACAGGGGTGGGAGAGCCTCTGGGCACCCCATGGCCACACTGCACCCTCCCACCTCAGCCTGGTGGTCTCATGAGCAGGACAATCCCCCAGCTCACAGTGGGATGAGTCAGCTGTCACAGGAGGGTGGTGAGAGCCTGCGTGGGCTGCTTTGGGCTGTGGGAAAGGGGAACATGCCTCTAACAGTGCATCTTTGACTCTTTCTAAGCAGGCAAGATTCAGCTGGTGGTTCTGGGGAAAATGAACTGTTAAAAGCTCCTGCAGGAGAGGCTGAAGCTCTCCATGCGTGCCACATCCATGTTTGGGAGCATCTCCATCAGGAATATTTCCAGCATGATACATCACACCAAGTGTTTGTGCCTGCCTCCCCCAGCCCCAGCCTCTCTTCAGAGATTTGGGTGTTTGATTCAGAAATCTCAGAACATTTTTGCAGAGCTGGTGTGTGAGCTGCAAATAAAACCAGCTCCTCCGAGAACTGCTTGGGTAGCTGAAATGATGACTGCATTAATTACCACGAGGTAATTATAATCCCACCTGCTCCCTGGGGAGCTGTGGTAAAGCAAAGGCAAATCAATCAGGGGCCCAAATCAGGACAGCTGTTGCCATGTGTGGATGGCTTGTCCTCAAAGGGATGTTTTTCCCTGGCTGCATCTGTCCCTTGTCACCTTCCCAAAGTGGTGCTGCACCAAAGAAATGGGGATGGGATGAGGAGACCAGTCAGTGGCAGGGCTGGACCCACAGAGTTACCTCTAAAGGTCGTTTTTATTACTTTTTTTTCCTTCTTTCCCAAAAGAAGAGCATGGGATGAAGCAGATCTCATGGGAAATGAGTCAAGGCTGTCTCCTTCTCTGGGGACTTGCTGCATTTGCTTCCAGGGTGACAGTGTCAGACAGCAGCTGCCACTTCCAGTGCTCATTACTGGTCCCTGAGTCAGTGTCTGACATCCTACCCCAGCAGAGGTTGTTGCACAGTCTGATGAGCGACAGGAAATAATTCCAAAGCCAATTTAAAGCACCCTACCTGGGTGAGGAAAAAAAAAAAAAAAAAAAAAAAGCCAAAGAAAGAACCCCGCAGTGGAAGTTTGCTTAGAAATACTTTAGATCTTACTCTTGCCCATCAGGGGTGGTAAAAATCAGTTATCTCTTTACATGCTGGGAATGAATTTTTTGTATATGTCTGAGAGAGAGGGAGTTTGGTCCACATCTGTCCTATCTTTCCTATTTTTCCTATCTGGGGCCATGATCCATCCCCCCTTACCTTGCTCCTCTATTCAGAACACTTCATAAAACTCAGTGCCCGTAACAGGGAGACTTCCTAATCCACATAAAACATTCTGCAACAATTTATATAAAACCTCATTAAAGCTTCAACATTTCCAGGGACACCTCCAGAAAAACCCTCTTTTAACAGGATGCATTTGCTTCTCCTTCAAGTGTAACTGTGTCTGGGACACTGATTAGGTGTGATTTCAGGGAAAATCCACCAGAAACCGCTATAAAAGCAACCAGCAAGGACAGAAGGAAGGAAAGGCCAGCAGTGAGAGCATCCCAAAACCCCTTGGATCAGCTCCTGGTCCTTTTGGGATAAGTCATTTAGCATTCCTGTGCCTGATTGACACTAACATCATTAAAAGGTTGGTAATGAATTTCAGTGCTATATAAATCACACGGAAAACTATTACCCTTAATACAAGCGTTACGAGGCTTTAATAATTAATGTCATCTAAACTTCTTTCCAAAACATGACCTTTGAAATCAGATTGCTGTGGCCAGAGCCATCCCTCATCCTGCAGGCAGGATTTCCAGCCAGCCTGGTGGCTGCACTGGGGCTGTGCTGGGGAACCTGGATGGGTCCAGGTCCAGGAGCAGCTCCCAGAGGGAACCTGTGCTGGTGGAAGCTCCACTCCTTGTGCAGCAGGATAACAGAAAACACCAGCAGTGAAAAAAAAAAACCACTGCCAGCAACAATTCCAGCTTGTCTCGTCACTCCCAGAGGGAACCTGTGCTGGTGGAAGCTCCACTCCTTGTGCAGCAGGATAACAGAAAACACCAGCAGTGAAAAAAAAACCACTGCCAGCATCAATTCCAGCTTGTCTCGTCGTAGGGCACTGCCCTGCAGGGTGAAAGGGGGAGATGTGGGCACTCCCTGCTCGTTCCTGCTCCTTCCCTCCCGTGTGGGGATGCTCAGATCCCCGGGCAGCCCGGGGTGCTGGTGCCTGCCAGCCCTGGAGCACCACGGGGCTAAAGGTGCACCTGGAAAACTCCTGAACTGGCACATCCTCCTCTTTTATCAGCTCAGTTTAGCCCCAGATGATGACAGAGGGTATTTTATTTTAAATAAAATATCTAACTTCCATTCACACGTGTGCCTTTGTTTTTCTGTGAGTCAGAGCTGCTCGGGGAGGCTGCGAAAGGCTCCACACATTTATTTTTTTCAGGCTTTCACACAGCATGTGGGTGCTGGGTTAAAAATAATGTGGCACCTCTCCTTGAGCTTCCTCCCAAGCAGCGGATCCAGGCAGAGGGATGTGCAGGGGAAACAGCAAATGGAGCTGCAGCTCCAACAGCCCACGGAGTTAATTCCTTTAATTTAGTCATGGTGCAAGCAGGATGTGAAAACCCTCCCAGAGAGAGGGGAAGGGCTGGTGTTCTTTGGTGCTGTGAGATTTACGTCTTTCCTTGTTTTCAGTGTTTGAAAAATAAAGCAACAACGCTGCTGGGATAAGGAGCAGAAGTTGTGCTGAGCTCCTTCCACACCTCAGGAGCTGCTGCAGCAGCCCATCCCACCTGCACAGCGCTGAGTGCTGCAGCTGTGGATCCCAAAGCCAAGCTGCTGGTGCCAGTTTTGCTGCCCGGTATGAAATACCCCACAAACACCATCCACGAGAAACCAAAATCTCTAAAGTCTCCCTCAGCAAGTGGTTCCCAGCCTGTGGGAGCTGCCCCGCGGGTTTCCTGGCCGTGGTGCTGGGGCTGCTCTGCCTCGCTGCCCCCCGAGCCTCCCCCCGGCCGCCTGCCCACGAAATGACAGAAAATAGCAAGAGCTGAACAGCTGGCACAGAGCATCCTTCACCTCCCACACGAGTCACAGCAGCTCCAGCATCCCAGCTTGTTGCATTCACCTGCTGGCTCTCCTCTTTGCTTGGGCAAGCACTGGAACCCCTGGCTGGGGCTGACCTCCCCTCCCTGTGCCCAAAATGCTTCTCCCAGCCCGGTGTGCAGGTAAAATTGCTCAGTAGCTGTTGTCTGACACCAGATCAGAGCCATGGCTGGGCTCGGGGGTGGCTGCCCTTTG